CCTTCGGGACGCCGAGTTCATCCAAGCGCTCGACGGCCGTGGCGAAGTCCTTGAACGACTTGATGCTCTCGCCGGGAGTGCCGACCCAATTCGGAACGGACGTGGCGAGGCCGAGCAGGTCTTTGTCCACCTGGTTGGCAAGCTGGATCATCGCCGGGCGAATGACGCGCTCCGACAGTTCGGTAATGTCGAGCGTCAGTTCCTTCGACGTGAAGGAAAAGTCGATACCCTTCTGCTTGTTGATCACAAGCGAGGTCTTGCCCTCGCTCACGTCCTGATTGGACGCCACAGGGCCATCGCGAACGGTGAAGTCAGCCGGACGGCGAATGGTGATGGTATCACCAACTTCGTAGCCATTCACTGACTTGCTGAACTCGTTCTCGTACCCGCGAAAAACGTGCTTGGCAGCGCCGAGTTCGTTTTCAAGGATTTTGACCGCCGCTTCAGCGATGATCGAAGTCTGGAGAGTGCGATTTGCCATTGATCAGTTCTCCGCTCTGCCGCCGTACTGTTTCCTGAGCCACGCATCGAGTTTCGCTTTCTCAGACGCAGGGCCAGCACCGCCCTTGATCGGGGCAGTGGGTGGCGGAGCCTTTGAATTGCGGTTTGCGGTTGGCAGGCTCAGTCGGGCCTCAAGCTGGCCGATAGCGCGCGCGGCAGACAGCGGATCCATAGCGTTCAGACGCTGTAGGTCGCCGGGATTCTTCGCGAGATGGTACTTGAGCAACGGCCCCTTATCGGACTCGACAACAAGCCGGGTAACGGCATCTGACGCTGGCATGTTGCCGGCTGACGCCATCGTTTGCGCATAGTCCGGGATGGCCTTGGCCGTCTCTGACTCGCGCTCGCGGAAATCTTCCAGGGCGATCTGCTGTGCAGCCGTCATCTGCGCTTGATGCGTGGCCGCTTGCTTCTTCGCGTCCTTCTCAGCAAGCCGTCGCTCGACTTCATACGCCGTCAGTGCGCGCTCATACGCAAAGTAGTCGTCAAAGTCGTTCTGATCGGGCGGAGTGCCGATTTCCGCTTCAACCGCTCGCCTGATCGCCTCACTGTCAGCGGGAACAGGCCCACGACTGCGCGACATTTCCAGTTCTGCGGTCAGTTCAGCGATGCGGCGCTTGAGCCGGTCAACGCCTGACCGTTTCTTGCGCTTTTCGCCGTCGTGCTCTTCACCATCTTCGCCCGCTGCGTCGTCGCCTTCGGGCTGCTCTGTTGCCTCTTCGCCTGTTTTGGCTTCGTCCGTCTCGACGGGTTCAGCCGCAGACTGTTCGGCTTCGGCCTGCGGCTCATCGGCCACTGGCACGTTTACCTGGTCGTCATCCTGCATTGTTTTGCTCACAAAAAAGCCGCCTCAAAGGGCGGCGTCCGTCATCGCGACTGGCGCTGCATGCGCCTGCCTGCGTGAAGGTCAGACCGGCGGTTGGCCGGGGTCGTCAGGGCCAACAAAAAAGCCGCCCTGCGGCGGCTCTGTCGGCATCATCTCTGGATCAATCGCCATCTCAGGCGGTGCGCCCATCATCTCGGGCGGCAACTCCTGCGGCATGTCCTGCGGCGGCTCTGGCGGCTGTTGCAGCATGGCGAACAGGTCGCCCACGACAGCCTGCAATTCCTGAACAGCCCCGGCGATTTCGTCCACGCGAGGATCAGCGGATGGCTGCGGCGCGACTGGCTCTGCCGGCATGGTCGCGGCAAGCTGCGCCTCCATTGCAAGCCGCTCCAGTTCGATCTGGGCTTTCTGTGCGTCAGCCTCTGCCTTCGCAGCCATAGCCATTTTCTGCCGCGTCTCGGCGTCCTTGGCGGCCATCTCCATCTGCATTGCCTGCTGTTCAGCGGGCGATGGCTGCGGCGGCTCTGGTGGCGGCTCTTTGCTGTCCTGCGCGATCAACTGCTGAATCTGCGGCGGGGCCAGAACCTTCAGGCGTTCGGCCATCTTGTCGGCCATCGGCCAGTCCTGCGCCTGCACGTAGAGGTCGCCAATCGCGGGGAACAGATCAGGGGCGGACTGCACCAGTTCACGCATGCCCTCACGGGCTTCCTCGCGCCTCGTGGTGTAGCTTGGCCCCATCGACAGCGTTACGTCATAGCTGCCAACTGTCAGATCATTCAGGATAGGCGCAGCGCCTTCAACAGCGAGGCCGTTCGGCTGGTTGATCGCCAATTCTTCGATGGTCCCGTCTTCGCCGGCAATGCGCAGCGTGCGCGCCGTGTCGTAGATGCGCGGGATCAGGTCAACGAGGATTTCGCCCGTGCGCTGG